TCCTTTGTTTCAGAATTCTGCTATTTTTCACCCTGAATTGTTGTTGGTGCAGATTACACACATAGCCATGACTGTTAGAAGGCAGAGGAAATAGAAAATTTACAGAGGAATGCAAAGTCACCGAGAAAGAATCTGAGATGGACAGACCAACTTTTTTAATGGTCCACCGGGCTTCCACTAGCAGGACAGAGGCCAGGAGCAGCATTAACTTTATTTCTTTCTAATTCTCATTGCCTGTTTCCTCTTTTTCTCCCCAATTGTCAAGTTCCCTTGCCAGGTTTGCTTTTCCTTTTCCTCCCTCCCTTGAGTTCCAGTGACAGACAAATTAATAAGGGAGAGCTTTGTTTTGCTGCTAGTCAGTGTCCCTCATGGGAACAGAAGGACTTTCAATCTCACAAATGCAAGCCTTCTCCCAATCCACCCCAGTATATAACCCTTCTGCCCTCTTCTAAATTTGAAACACTCCCATCAGAGAGGCAAGGACAGCAGAGGTTTCTGACAGCACGGTGGGGCTTTTTCTGCTATTTCAGGGAGAGAGATCCACCCCATCTTTTCGTCTCTGAGATGCCTTCTCAGGAATGGGGCTTCAGCCTTAGTGAGTGACTCACTCGGTACATGCTATGCTTATATTTGGGAGGCTTTTTGCAGTGCTTCTGCTTACTCAAGTAGAGCAAGGTATTACTGTAAGTAGCAAGAAGTTCACACAGAAAGTATCTTGATCCACTCTTTGCCATAACACATTATCAAGTCAGGAAAAGATTCAACATATGTTATACACTCTGATTTTTAAAAGTCACAATTTGCATTATACTGTAGTTTAAAATTTTCTGAAGTAATTTGTCGTGAAAATAAATGAAGATGTTTCGCCTCACGGATAAGCTAGTGAATTCAGTAAGCTTTTTAGTTGTGCAGGGTAAGAAGAACAGTAGCAATTAAATTAATAAAGTCATCATTGCAGTCTAAGCACATTTATATGGGAATAAATCCCATGACTGCTGCGGGACTGAGATGCATAGGATTGCCTTAATGCCACGTTCAGACTTTCTGCTGTTAAGATTCTGTTTGAACAACTGTGAAAAATAGTGGCCACTATTTTTTTTTAAAAAAGCCAGAATGAAATGGATCTAGATAATCCATCTTGCCCAGGAATCCCTTGAGCTGAGAAGCCACCACCTGCTGTGCCACCTTGCCCCAAAATGGACCGTTAAAGAGACTGGCTGGTAATTGTCAACACCATGGGACCGAAAGGGGACTTTTTCCACAATGGTCTTTCTACTGCCTCCTTTAAGTATGTAGGGATCCTTACCCTGCTGCCAGAAGACATTCCACCACTCCTCCTACCCACTCAGCCAATCTTCTCTGGCAGCTTTTATGAGCTGGAAGGGCAAGGGTCCAACAGGCATGTGGCAGCCTTCACCTCTCAAAGGATCTTGTCCACATCATCAGGCTGCAAAAACTTGACATATAGGGACATGTAAAAATATGTTTCACAAACTCACCTGTAGAAAACTTCGTTCCTTTTAAATGAAACCTAGAATGTTTATCTGCAAAGTAATTTTCTCCATGTATTTATGAAGAGGCAAGCAGTATACATTCAATTAACATGGTAAAAGAGTGGATTTGAGAAAAAGAAGCCACAGCCTTTAGTTTGCAAGATCTGAGCATGGCTGGATATGACAAGACATTTTGGAGGCCATTCATTCATAAGGTCAGGGCAAGCCAGAAGTGGATTGATGGCACATAGGATCAACCCACATTTTAGCTTGAACAGGTATTTCTTTTATTTTCATTCAATGTTTAAACTTATATCCCACACATACCCTCTTGACTACTCACATTTTATAATCACCCACTTATGTATGGACGTGCAACAGAGTGAATGTGACCTAGTGGTTTGAATGTTGGGCTGGGCCTTGGGAGATCCAGATTCTAGTCTCCTCTGTGCCATGAGATGCAGTGGGTAACCTTGGACCAGGTACTCTCTCTTGGCCTTTACAAAACTGTTGTCAGGATAAAGAGGGGAGGAGGAGGAGAGCCACGTGCACTGCGCTAATGTAATCAGGGGGAAATGGAGCACAAATGTAACGAAGTCATAAACATATCAAACTCAACAATACTAACCCATGCTTTGTACCCTGAGTAGAGACAAGATCACTTCCAACTCCTCCTTTAGTGGTTGAGACCAAATACATGTCTACATAAAAAAAATCCTTGCTTATATGGCATCTTCACTTATTCATGACCAAATTAATCCAATTGATTTCCATGAACCTATTCTAAACATTCCTTAGGCCTGAATCCAGCCCGTTGAGCAGTTTCCCTAGATAACCTTTATTAGTGGTAAAACGGCAAAGTCATCAGGAAAGTGCAGACTCAAATCTATTGCTTTCTGACATTCCCGCCCCCCAGCACTTAGACAAGGTATTCTTTTGGACTACAACTCCCTAAATCCCCTAGCTGGCATGGAAGATTCTTGAGGTTTTAGTCCTGAAGCATAATTTTTCTGAAATCTAGTCACAACTTTCTGACATTAATTTCTTCTGAGCAACAAACCCAAATGATAGGAATAATCAACAAAAAGAATGGGCAAAAGAGAAGGATAAGATTGCTTCAGGTAGTCATCTGTGTCAAACCAATCCAATGGCTATATCTAGGACAGTATCAGCATTAGCAATAAGTCTATTAAGGTGTGACAACCTGAATCCAGGTAGGGCTTGAAGTGTGGCAGTGGCGTAGGGATAGTGGTAAGTCCCACTCCACTCGCTGTCCTGAAGTCAGGCAGATCTTGACATGTCTACAGTGAAGAGTTGCAGCAACATCTATAGAGAGGCCCTGATACATGTGTTAATGGCTTTTCTTTGAGTGGTAACTCAGCCTATCACACCTCTTGATCACAGAAACATGGTAAGAGCTTTTAAGCAGAACACATAAGCCATGCTGCTTCTACCTCCAAGTTTGGGTGATGACGGGGGTCAAAGTTCACATGCCTGCTAACATCCCAACCAAACTTCAAGCCTTGCTTGGATTCAGTGCCTACAAAGAGCTGTTTTTGGGTAGGGCCCTGGGTCCCAGGTGATCCGAGAATCCATCCTGACTCAGAGAAGGATACATTGCTCCCAGCCCATTCTCTTTACAGCCTACCACTGGCGAAAATTGCTCAGAATTGGCCATTCTTAGATATCTGGCTTCAGAACCAGAGGTTGGGAGTTTGATTCCCCACTGTGCCTCCTGTGGGTAAAGCTGACCTGAGCATTCTTCCGGAAGCTGCACAGCCCAAAGCATCCCCACAAGAAGAGAGTAAGCCACTTCTGAGTATTCTCTGCCTGGAAAAATCTTGAAAAGGGTCACCATAAGTCAGAATTGAGTGAATGGCACATGATGATGATCCACAAATTCACCTCTTAAAGTATAATCTCCAGTTCATGTAATGTGTTTCTTTTTTCTTCACTAGTATGATACTTAAACTGAAGTTTGAATAATAGTTGCAGTAAGAATAACAAAAGATGACAAAACAAACTTTGTCTCAAAGGTCAAACTCCTGTAAATGTTTATCCCTTATTATAATCACAACCACAACAAAGGAGCTATAGTGATTAAAAGAGATCAAACATTTCCTGGAGCAGATGGCAACAAGCATCACATGAATTGTTTAACTTTTGTCAAATGGCAGTGGGCTTTCAATTGTAGCAGGCTCATTGTGTAAAGAACAAGTAATGAATTGCTTGTATAAACCATGAGATTGTATTGTTTGCATTCTGACACATTGAGGTCAAGCTGGAATATAGGCATACAGGAACTCAAAGGCATTTTAGCTCTTTAGAAATTATATACAGCAAATGCGTCAAACCCATTAGCAAGGGGCTACCTTATCCATGCCGATATGCACTGTGTGCCAGAGAAGCAAAGTCTTCCTTCACAAACGTCAGACTTGGCAGGCTTGTCTCATTCTAGAATAATAAGGCAGTAAATTTAAATGGGAAGGACTAGATCCACTGAGACGCTAACAGAATTAAAGTCAGAAGTCAAATGTTTATTCATCAATCAATCATAAAGAACACACACACTCAGCCAACAATCCCCATAGAGTCATTACATAACTGAATATTGTGTAGACTGAATCTCTTTGAACATCTTAAGTCTAATATCAGTTATACATAGTTAATATTTAATGGGTTATACCACCGAGGCCCACCAGCAATCTTTTTTAGCCCTAGTGTAGTCTGAGACAGTTATACTGTTTCATCTGTAGCAGAATTAAAAACTCAGTGAAGCTGCATTGAATTTCAGTGTTGTGCATGTGTGGACAGCTTACCTCTAGTGCAACTGGTTCCTCAGTGGAAAATTGGATCACTCCCTTGCATTATTTTTGGAAATTTACTTCTGCTAGTGTAAGGATCTTGTGCTACTGAAATGACACAGTTGGATGTAGGCCTAGGATGTTGGGTCTTTTAAAAATGTTGAGTATATACAGCATTTGCATCCTCTCTCTCCTCCTCATTCCATTTGAATATTCTTCTAGAGTCTTTTACCACAAACCTGAATATTCCACTTGGAAATATATTTGATGAATGTCAGTGGGACATACTTCCAGGTAATATCTCTGAGAATTCTCCTCAGAAAGAGCAGCCTTATTTCCACTCCCACTTCACACCTAACTCCTTTTATGGGCATTAATTCAGTCAGTAGGCATCCGTCAATCTCGAGAGACTATAGTAACATGCTCTGAATAGAGGTCATGGAACAGCATCTAGTGTGGCTGAGAAGGCCAATTCAAGACTGACAATCCCTTCCCACACCGAAGACAAGGTTCCCACTTGTCCAGCTCCCTGATTTTGCTGGTTTCATGACTGCCTCTTTGCCTTGACCTGATGAATAAGTGTTTCTTCAAATTGGGAGAGGCCATGCTGCACTGCCTGCCTCCAGGCTGAACATTCAGTTGTCAAGGTTTCCCATCTGTTCAGGTCCATTCCAAAGGCCTTCAGATCCTGCTTGCAGATCTCCTTGTATTGCAGCTGTAGTCTCCCTCTGGGGCACTTTCCCTGCACTAAGGGCATTAATTAGGTAAAGGTAAAGGTTCCCCTTGACAATTTTTGTCCAGTCGTGTTCGACTCTAGGGGGCGGCGCTCATCCCCGTTTCCAAGCCATAGAGCCAGCGTTTTGTCCGAAGACAATCTTCCGTGGTCACATGGCCAGTGCGACTTAGACACGGAACGCTGTTACCTTCCCACCGAAGTGGTCCCTATTTATCTACTTGCATTTGCATGCTTTCGAACCGCTAGGTTGGCGGGAGCTGGGACAAGCGACGGGAGCTCACTCCGTCGCGTGGATTCGATCTTACGACTGCTTGGTCTTCTGACCCTGCAGCACAGGCTTCTGCGGTTTAGCCCGCAGCGCCACCACGTCCCTCTAAGGGCATTAATTAAAGACAAGCAAATTAAGGCAAATCTGACCTAGAAGAACATGAAAAAATGCATACATAACAGACCCCCAAAGAAGTATTGACAATAAATTATTCATCTTCAGTAGTCTACTAATATTAAAACCACATCTGCCTGTGGAAAAAAAAACGGAACCCAAATCAGTCAAATATAGTACGTATTATTATAACAGTAAGGTCATCTATAACTAAAACAAAAGCACATCGGTATAAATAATAAAAACTGATATTCATTTTAACTGGAATAAAAAAGTAAACAAGCTTCAGATGTTCGTTAAAAATAAATTCACCCACTCTCCTATTTACTCATTCCTTTCCTACTCTAACATGATTGCTGATAATTTTGTTGCCTTGGTGGTTGGGATCTGCTTCCTTTTGTGTTTTCCTCTTTTCCTCCCACCTCCTCAATCCATTGCCTCTCCACAGCTCCCTTCTTCTGATTCATAAGTATTGTGAGATAATTTGTTTTGATTTGTTTTTAAAGGAGAGCCTCAGAGTTTTTTAAAGACAGAAGTAATTTTGAAGACTACTTTGCAAACATGTCACATTGGCCAGAATCATGTTCACCAAGGGGTTACATAAAATTACACTTCCATAGGGAAGCTGTTGGTCATACACCAGCAACACACCAGCAGAATCCCTAGTTTGTCTGTGGTGCTCACTACAAGACAGAAACATGAAGTGACTAACACAGAGATGACAGGAAGTTGGCAGCATCAATTTTCAGTAATTAAAGATTCTCCCACCCCCAATCCTGCAGCCCACAACATCTTCCAAACAATGAAAGGGATTCCATGGAAGTCTTGGGATCTCCAGGTGGGGTGTGTGTGAGAGGTGGTAGGGTAGGTGTGATTTAAAATGTGAAAGATTTGTACCCAGAGGTTGTTCTTCCAAAGTTCAACATCAGCATCTCGTGTGGTCATTTTCCCTGCTGTTCAAGTTCCAATACTGGATGAATAGCTGTAGTACATCAAGCTACACATTGGTTACCTGTTTTTCAAACAACGTTGGAAATGATTAAACAGATGAAATTGCATTTAAAACAGTATGAAAGATGAAATATTTTAAGAACACTTTATTTTTAGTGAAACACTAAGCCTCGGGTCTCTTGCAGAGAATTGCAAGATACTGTACTCAGACTGGCTTGCTGCTGCTATAGGCAGCCTCCAGCAAAGTGAGAGAGAGAAAAAAAATATTATTAAAGCAGAGTAGCATAGAGTGCCTGTGAAATACACTGGAGCCCTCTTTCAGTACTCGCCATCAAAGGGTGGTAAGGAAAGAAATTTGACTGCTTTTGAAGTTAGTGATAGAATTGGAGGACAAATGTTGATTCTCAAAGTCATTTGAAGAAGATATTGAAAGTGTAGCCCCACCACATGTTAGCCTCTCCTTGTAAAATCTCAGTGGAGTAGCCAGTCCTGTCTAATGTGTTGACAGCACTGATCTTGGTTATGTCGGAAGACTGGCTGCAGCAAGAGAACCTGACTGGCATCTGCAAACAAGAATCAAAGAATGAATCGTGGAGGAAGTGGTTCACCTTAAGATGGCTGGGAAGGTTCTGCAGGAAGGAAGGGTGAGGGGTGCTGGTGTCCTGTTGTCAGAGTATCTGATTCGGTTCCCCTCATGTGACATTATGATGTCTCTCTGTTTCCTGGTTCAGTGCACATTTTAGCTCTTTTTCCCCCCCAGAACATGGTAAGTTGTGATCTTCGCCTGTCAGAGCATTTACAGAAACTATTCAGCCAAATCACAATATATTTAACTTGTGGTGACTCTAACATATTTGAATAAACATTTATGTTCTTTGCCTCTAAAATATCCCCACTGCTTTAGAGAATGCATCTACAACAATCTGCCTTTTGAGGAACCTCTCAGTATCTACCATGGAGTTGCCAGTCATTGTCATGGCTTTGAAAGCATACATGTTCTGACAATGCTAAACAGGGAATTTGTAGTCCAAAATTTAACATTTCCAATCTCTAGTCTACAACAAAATCATAGGCATAAACATTTCAATCAAAGTGAGATTGCATCCTAGGAGTAAATCAGTAGGGATGACTAGGTAAAGGTAAAGGTTCTTTTAGTCCAGTCATGTTCAACTTTAGGGAGCAGTGCTCATCCCTGCTTCCAAGCCATAGAACCAGTGTTTGTCCGAAGACAGTTTCCGTGGTCACGTGGCCAGCGCGACTAGACACAGAATGCCATTACTTTCCCACTGAGGTGGTACCTATATATCTACTTGCATTTACATGCTTTCAAACTGCTAGGTTGGCAGGAGCTGGGACAAGTGATGGGAGCTCACTCCATTGCATGGATTCGATCTTACGACTGCTGGTTTTTGACCTTGCAGCACAGAGACTTATGCGGTTTAACCCACAGCGCCATCACATCCCCGTAACCAGCTCTTACTGTTATCTATATTTTCCATGACTTTACATCTCAGCTTTGAGTAACTGAATTAGAGGAAATATATTCTTTTAGCAAGGTCAGTGTTCATAACAGAAACCTTTTGCATAGATTGCAGTAATGAAGAAATCAGTTTCTGATTGCACCAGGGCAGGACATTTTAGAGTGTAACTATACAGCAGGGAAATATGTTTGGATCGTCTGTAATCCACCGTTTTCAAATAGAAGTTCCAGAGATGAAATCACTCTAGCCATCCAGACAAGTTTGCAGGCAGAGTTAGACAATTGTGTTTGCACTGATCTCCATCAGCTTAAGCTGCCTTTGACAAGATGCCATTTGGCAATTTCCACCTCATTTTTAAAAATAATTTTTCCTAAGTGACCTAGTGATACTCTACTCCAGCACTGACTTGAAAAAAAACAAAAAAAATTGTTTGGAAACAAGGGGTGCTCAGTTGAGGGGAACGGACACTCCACAAACACCCCTTTGCCTTCAGGTCAAGCAATCACATACAGCAGAAGGCAGAAAAAAGGGATGCAAGCCAAATGGAGCAAATTCAAACCACCCTTCCTAGCAGAACAAAAGAAAAAAAGATAGTTCCCCGCTCAAAAGAGAGTATTTCAGAAAGAGCTTTTCTGCATTGAGCAGTCAATGGGTTTTAATTCAAATTAATCTGTGCCTAATCTGATGTAAATCAAATGGTAAATGGCCAATGGAGTCACCCTTAAGTCACCCAGAGTCACATTTTGTTGCATAACCCTCTAGGAACCAAATTCACAGAGTAGGCATTTTGTGTCAATGTAAATTGAACATGTAGAAACAATGTAACCAAATTTCAGCCACTTGTCACAATGGCATTCTTATTTTAAAACAGACAAAAACCATCTGGATTGACGTACAAAGACTCTATTGTGTCATTGACAGAAATGAAGAAATCTGGTTGTCTGATGTTTGGTCCCATCTAAGGGATGTTGGAATCTTCATAGGGGTCAGGAAATACAAGAGGAAGTATGGGAATCCCAAGCCCTAACCATAATCCTGATCCTAGCCAGAGTTCTAATTCTCTCAATACATTTTGGGTCAAAGACTGTCCTACAAGTCATGCCACCAGAAAGCAGTATCCATTTTACAATTAACAGATGAGCTCAACAAATCCAACAGCTCTGTTTCAAAGTCTATAAAATTCAACCCCCTATCAATGCAGAGATTATGTGGGACCAAAGCTGGCCCTAGTTAGGGACGTGGTGGTGCTGTGGGCTAAACCGCAGAAGCCTGTGCTGCAGGGTCCGAAGACCAAGCAGTCGTAAGATCGAATCCACGCGACGGAGTGAGTGCCCGTCACTTGTCCCAGCTCCTGCCAACCTAGCGGTTCGAAAGCATGCAAATGCAAGTAGATAAATAAGGACCACCTCGGTAGGAAGGTAACAGCATTCCGTGTCTAAGTCCACTGGCCATGTGACCACAGAAGATTGTCTTCGGACAAAATGCTGGCTCTATGGCTTGGAAACGGGGATAAGCACCGCCCCCTAGAGTCGAACACGACTAGACAAAAATTGTCAAGGGGAACCTTTACCTTTACCTTAAAGCTGGCCCTGCCATTTGGCAGAGTAAGCCAATTGCCTCTGAGATCAGATCAGACAACAAAGTCATCTGGCTTGCCCTCCATCCCTTGAACTAGACTGCTTCTCTCAGGTGAAACGCTGGACACTATCCTATCAGCATTATTAAAGGAAAATTACACTGCCCATCATGCTGGGTTTTGTACATGGTAAGGAGAAGCAAAATGTCTTGTCCTAGCACGAGTCATAAACTATATACAACACCTTAAATGCATGTTACTTTCTGTGCTATTGCATTTAACTGGGATTCCTTTGTAGTTTTCACAGCTCAGCTTCCCACAGCTGACAAAATATCACATTTAAACCTTTCTCCAACAGCTTTGGGAATTGCAGCAGAGTCAATGATGGAGAAAATGCCAGCTCTGCTCCGGATTCTCTTTCTTAAGCAGACATAGATGGCTTTCTTGGACTGTGCAACCTAGTTTCCTATTCTGAGTTAGTTTCGGAAATTCATCAGCTTCAGATCTAGAAAATGAAAGCCTACTAGAAAATGGACTCAAAGCAATGTCAAGCACAAATTGGGGTGTTAGAAGCCCTAACATATCCAGATATCTGAGACTATAATGATAAATTACTATTTTAATACAAAAGAACTTCTGTGTATTGATGACAGAATTTTTATAATTGTCTTGTTCAGACTATTTAGTTAACTATAACGCTACAAGTGCTTTTGTTTTCATGAATCAAAATGCATACTTTAAATTAACTTTGTATTTGCAGCTTTTAATTTCCAAGTTGTTTTAAGCTGATATGTATATCTATTGGCTGCTGTTTAAGATCTTTGCATTTCTCCTGTCACAAAACAGTCACGTGTCACAAAAAAACAGGTAATGTCACCTAGCAACAGGAAGTAAAGGCAAGAAACCTTCCAGACCAGGCAAGCAAGAAACATCAAGTGGGACACCAAGGTGGAGGTATGAATGAATAAATTGCATGTTCCAAAAGGTGAATGGAAACATCCCTTTGGTGAATGTAACCAGTGGCATATGTGACAAGCAACATCAATGATCATTCTTAGGCATGGTCGAAACAGTGCATGCTCAAGCTTTCTGACGACCATTGGGCAACATATCTCCATGCCTTCTGTCTCTTGGTGAGACAATCTTCTCACCACCATCATTAATAGCTGCTGCTTTTCTTTTTCAATGATGAGCAGTACTGTAGAATGTACAGTATATAGAAATCATGACTTGTTACACCAGAAAAAAATACTAGTTCTTGCTTATCCAGTAACTTTTAAAATGTAAGTTTATTATGCCCTAATTTTAAAAAAATTATTAAGGAACAAGTTACTTGTAACTGTTAATTGTAACTCATTACCAGAAAGCTCTGACTACATTGACTCGTCATAGAGAAAGTGATGTCTGTCCAGATCCTGAAATCTCTCTGGTGTGGTACTGACCAAGGTGGAATGTTTAACCCCACACATTTTTCCACTTCCACTTAATCATTGTCATATTTTCCTTTATTGACTGGAACCCGCCGCGTACTCGAGGGGTCATACTCATGACTTAGACTTTGTATGGCATGCTTCATCCCATGGTAGTGCCTTGTTTCTAACTACTACAGGCAATGCATTAAACAAGTAAGGGCCCAATGGCTCACCTCCACACCTTATGGTCTTCAGATCTATCACCTAGCTTTTCAATGACACATCCAAGCACATTAACTATTTCAAGCATACATATACCACCATAGGACAAATAGGGCAGTCTCTACATGAAAGAAAAGATGTGTACAAATCTGACCTTCAGAAACCAGTGGGAGATGATATCCAAGGACTGAAAGCTGCCATTTCCCAACAAAATCTGCCATTCTTCCAAATGTTAAAGGAGACTTAGCAGGAAATACGTAGCTGTTAAAATTCATCAAACCTGACTTTCTCTAGGATAATCATGTCATCACTAGTTTTGCTGTTATTAATGGTCATTGGGCACATTTTGAGTTTTATACAGAATTGTCACAGTTGGAATGTTCTGAATGTCTTTGTCATTTCACTCTAACATTCACATTTTCCACTTTGCATCTGTGTGCTAAAGAGTGATATACAGTTGTGTACACATATATCTATGTATTTTATTGTATCTAGGAATGACTTCAATGACACAGATTTTGATCCACAGTAGGGTTGGTATGGGGAATCAACAGGAGTACCTCATCCCCTTCTCCAGCGATGAGCCACTTGTGATCTTCTGTCCAAATGAATCTATGTATTTAAAAAAATCCCTGAAGGAATTTCATTTTTTTAACCTAAAACTGTGTGGTCAAATTGACCAAGGAAAGTTTGCAAATGCTTGTATCACCTTACAAATACACATGCGAAGCAGCTGTGATTGGGTATCTATTGAGCAGTGGTACATCTGAAAGTGCAGAAGTCTATCAGGAGACTTCATAGCTGTTCACTCAAAAGGAGAATCCAAAAAATGCAAGCAATTGGATCAGCCTATATAAACAAATGAGTCACTTTTTTGTAAAGGTAATGACTTTTAATTGCCCAATCAAGACAGAACATCTGTACATTGCATTAGCCTATAAAAATAGCAAGCTGGAGAACTCAGTGGTTTAGGTATCTGGCTGTGGAGCCAGAGGTTGGAAGTTCATTCCCCACTGGGTTGAGGAAGGGGAGAGCCAGCCTGTGTGGCCTTGGGCAAGCATCAGAGTCCCACAGTGGCCCCAGAAGAAGGGTATGGTCAACCACTTCTGAGTATTATCTACCTTGAAAACCCTGAAAAAGGTTACTTACCATAAGCCAGAATTGATTTGATGGCACATGATGATAAAAATATAGTAGCCAGAATCCTGCTGGTGATTTAAGATGTGTGTAAGTTGAACTGTGTAATGGGCTGCAGGAGATTGCTGCAAACAGGGTATCAGTTGCATTAAGAGATCTGTGCCCGATTCTGTAACAGGCATGCATCTAGTAATGTGACTAGCAATTTACTGTGAAGAACTGCACACCTAAACACAAACATGTGCTTAAGTCAGCAACAGGATCTGGACACTATGCTTGGACAGATCAGTTTCTCTCCAGGTGAATGTGGAGACCGAAGCTAAGCTCAGAGGAAACAGGGACGTCTGGACGGGTGGTGATGTCACATGTGATGTCCCTGATGCCCAGAAAGTCCCAAGGTTTCGACCTTGCAAGACCTGGCTTCGCTGCTGTTGAAAGTACATTTGGGGGTGAAGGTGGATTTGCCTGTTTCATCCTGTAATATGTGAAACGGCCTTGATAAATCAAGCCCTATCAGTGCCGTTTAAAGCTGATTGGGTACATCTGCCTAGAGACTGATAAAAAAAGGTTTAGAATTCCAAATATGAATTTCGAGCATGAAGCGGTTCAGTCTGCCCAAGGATGGCAAGTTTGCTTTCGCCGGTTTGCTTCCAAACAAGCCCCGGGGAGTGGGTGGAAGGGGGACAGAAAAGGGTCCCGCATAATCAGGCGGCGACTGGAGGGCCGAGAGGAAAGGAGACGTGTGTTCAGCGCGCGCGCCCTCCGCTTCCCCCTGGGCTGGGAAGCAAAGGGCGCACTAGGACCCGGCGGGAAGGCCGTGTGACGCCCCAAGCAGGGTCCCTGCCCCGACTGTAGGGCTCTGACACACGGCCCCTCCCCGCGCGCGCAGGGCCCGGGCTCACAGGGGCCGGAGGGCGCCAGGGAGCCGGGCTGCCCGCCGTGGTTTGAGCCCGGGACGGCTTCCAGCAGCTTGCCTTCGGGGCGACGCTGCCACCGGCAGCAGCACCACCAGCAGCAGCCGCCGCCCACTCATTGAAAGGGACGACCCCG